CATCGCCTACAGACGTCAGAACCACCGAGGTAGGGGTTTCCTGCACGTACAGACATCCCTGAGGTGCCCCAACACACCCACAGCCCAGCCAGGAACAAAACGCGTTGACAGGCAGGCACATGGCCCGCAGGAGCGCCGTGCGTGATTCCTCCTCCAGGAAAATCCAACCAGGATCCAGGAGGAAAAAGCCTGCACCCAGGGGCACCGCCAGGGCAGGAACACCCCGACTTCCAAGACATTCTTCACCGCAGGGACCAGGTGTGGAGGAAGCCACGCGCCGGGATGGAGCAGGAGAGGCTGAAGGGAGCAACAGCGCGAGGGACCTGCCCACAGCTCAGCTCCCTTCCACGCCCAGCTCCCTTCCACGCCGGACACGAGCGGAGCTCCCGAGGGATTCCCCACAGCCCTCCCGTGCTGCCCTTTGTTCCTGCCCAGGGCTCACCCGTTTCTGGATGTCAGCTTTGCTCGCTCGGTCCAGGTCATCCATAACTTTCTTCAGGGCTTTAACAGCCTCCCTCAGCTCATCTTTCTGCCATTGCGGGATAACAGCAGTGGCCAGGCTCTGCAAAACCAGAGCAGGGGCAGAGGGTTAAAGGTACTGGTGACCACGGCAGGAGATACCGCACTCACGAACCTCAAGGGCTTCAGCTGGCAGAGCCCAGTAAGCTCTCCTCCTCTCCCAGTGCCCCCAGCTCAGGCACGAGGCGGTGGCAGCATCTTTCCGAGCTTGGGCCTCGTTAATATCCCTCCAGGCTGGCAATCAAGGCCTCGTTCCGTCCGGGAAGGCAGAGCGCTGCCACCATCCTCACCTCGCCGAGATCCGCGATCTCCTTCTGCACATCCTTGTTGGGAGCTGTCTGGACCTTCACCTTGGCCTCCAAGGCTGACAACAGCTTCCTGAGGCTGTCGACCTTCCTGAGGGCCTGACAACACGACCCGAGTTAGGTCAGACAGCGAGACTGAGCCGGCTGGGCTCTTGGCCACCCCCAGAACAAGGGGTGAGGAATGCTGCAGCCCCAGCACGGAGTTTGGGAACTCCAGAGCCAAAGCAGCAGCACCTGACCAGAAGCAGGGCCCCAAGACTCTTTCTTTGCCAGAAGGAATGCTGGGATCCTCCAAAAAGAGAAAACCATCTCCTCACCCAGCCCCTTCTCTCACCAACCCGGGACTAAAGCCCCCTCCCTCCTGCAGCAGGGGGCTGCATTCTCAGGCTGCACAGCTCTCCTGCCAACCTTTCCACCTGCTGAGAGCTCCAGATCAAGCAACCTGGCCTGTGGAGCAACCCGAGGCGAACCGC